CCCCAAAACCCCAAAACCCCAAAACCCCAAAACCCCAAAACCCCAAAACCCCAAAACCCCTTTTTGTTTCTTGACAATTGATTTTAGGTGAATGTTATAAATGGGAACAAAAATATAAACTAAATTAGAGGCTAAGGCCTGCTTGATTTGTAATTTAGAAGAAATTCTTGAAAGAACTTTCAACAATCCAGTCTAAATACTTGTCAAAATTTCTATCTGACTTGCTAGAGTATGCAACTCTTGGCTGATTTAAAAATGGCAGGTAGTTTTCATTACTCTCATCTATCCCAAAATCAAAGTCCAACACTCCGTTCATAATCTGCGTTGTGTCGTTGATGATGCTTTTATCTCTCTCAACATTTTCAATCTGTGGTCCTTTCGCATCAAAATCTCTTTGATATTGGGTTGCAATCTTATTCAAAGGTGGGGGACAACTCTTCTTTGTCTCGTTTTCATCAATAAGCTTTATGACCTCTCCTTCCTCTTTACAGCCAACAACCGGTTTGAAGTTGTGGTATCTTGTTTCTAGAAAATATTGTCAATTATTGCCCGCATTAGTTTAGGAAAGGACCATTGTCCACAAGAAATATTTTATAAAAGTTGGATAATAATTCCATATTATAACTCCGCTTACCAGGTTGCTCTGGGCTAGGCACTTGGTCAGCCGTAGTCTGAGAATCCATAATTCAGCTAAAATCTCGTTTATCCTTTGTAACTGCTAACGAGGCCGGTTTGATATCTTTTTCATTGTTTTTAACTTGAGATTCTGACTTCTTCACTTTCCCGAACGCGCCTTGGATGCAATTATCTTTAACCAAAAATTAGAATATGTTGGTTACAAAGATTCAATTGGTATTAATAATGGGCCATCCTAAAAATTTGAGCGGAATCTCTACTCTTTGAGGGGAAATGGACTTCTCAAATTGCAAACATTTTGAAATAAATTTAGCTCAATGGGCCTCACACTTTTCATTAAATTATTAGCATAGAGAAAGTTCCAGGATATCTTGAACATAGTATTCAAAGTTTATTAATTTATTAAAATCCAATAAACTCAAAAATGGAAAGAATCTTCTGAAAGTTCCCAGGATCTTACCTTGAAGGGCTTTTGGAATACTTTTATTGCTTTTAGGGGTTGACTTTGCAGTCTTAGATACTTGCTCAGGCTCTGACACTACGGAAATACCTTTTTCAACAGAGTTTTCCTTTTCTTCAACAGGCAATTTACTTTTCTCTTCAAGATCTTTTGAATCAAGTTCTTTCTGGAAAAATTCCAATTCTTTCAGGAACCTCTGCTTGTCAACCTGGGCTTGGTCATCAAATCTCTTTTTATTGATAGAATCAAGCTTCTGCCAGAGCTGGCCGACCTTCTTCATGACCTCTAGAGCATGCATTTCGGGATATTGTTCACACACCTTCGCTCTTGTTTCTCTAACGAAGATCATGTATGATGATAAGGCTTTCTTTGGTCTCTTATTTTCCAATTCTTTGATCCTCTTTGGACTTCCACACTTCTTTGTGAACTCCTTTATTTCTTTTTCGTATCTCACTTTGTCTAAAATAAAATATATTGCCTTTCCAAGTCGGGATGGCATAGGCCTAAACAGATTTTTTGCAATTTTATGAAGGATTTGGTCGAAGCTATCCGAACATGAAAGGATTGGAAACAAAGAGGGATTTTGAAATATCTGCTCAGAAGTAAGGAAACCGGTCACCCAAAATTGAAGTTATAGCTTCTAAATCTTCGTGAAATAAAAGTAGCACAAATAATGTGGCTGTGAAACTTACCTTGTCTAGCTAGATGGTTGTAAGGTTCCTTCTGCTCTTTAGTAAGACTCGACCATTCCTGTCCAAACTCTTTCATGAGGACTGTAGCTATCTTGTTGGTTGACCTTCCTGCAATAAACTCGTTCTTTTTCTATCGCAAAGGTTAGAGGCTGGTGGTAGTCAAGTCTTACCTCTTTAATGAAGAATGCATAAGATGTGATATTTCCTATAATAAATAAATACCCTTTATATTACTCTTTGGCTTTCTGAGAATGGCTTTAAAGTCAGTCATATCTATTCCCTGCTTATTTTCCTTCTTATTTCTCTTCATGCTCTTCTTTGGGGCTGCTTTCTGAGCCTTAGGCGCTGACTTTGTGACTTCTTTTTCTTGGTCCTCACCTATCTTACGCCTCTTTACAGGCTTAGTGGAGACCTTGGAGGGAGACTTTCTCTCTAATCCAACTTTTGACATCATTTATTTTGTGGTTTGTTAATTTTAAAGTTAATTTATGGGGTTTTGGGGTTTTGGGGTTTTGGGGTTTTGGGG